TTTCAGACCTGGTCACTATCAAGATGGGTGATTGTTTGGGAATACCAGATGGATTAAGCCTGGATTGGGTTACGGATAATGTCAGCCGGGTTCCAATTCCAATCGGGTTCGTTATATACATCTGCGTGCAAATACTCTCAGAAAAGCAATGCTTCCACTTCTTCTCACCCCGGTTATTAGCAGGACTTTTAACATTAAATCTTTATTATCTAAAAATAGATATTACGATCTATTTTGTTACAATTTATTTTCTGACACTTAATAACCTGTAAAAAAAAAAAAAAAAAAAACAATATCAGAGATAAAGATAATATATTTGGTTGGATATATATATATATATATATATATATATATATATATATATATATATATATATAGTGTAACTCGGATATAAGAGAGTTGTTGGGACCGGAGAAGAAGTCTCTTATATCCGGGTTTCTCATATCCGGGTTTGGTCTATTTTGTTTAGGTAAGTATGGGCTCTAATTTGGGACCAGAGAAAATCTCTCTTATATCCGGGTTACACTGTATATATATATATATATATATATATATATATTCAAACAACTAGATAGAATACAGTTATAAACCTAACATTCTGTAAGTAACACCTTAATTAAATAACACCAAGCCAGGTATAGAACAAGCCATTGACTATTAAACAAGACAAAACGAAAAAATAGGCAAGCAAAGACATATAAAGAAATATTTCCTTTACCATTTAAGGATCAATTTAAATAATAATATTAATAATAATAATAATAATATTAACTAATTATTGACATTTCAGTTTTGTTCTTTTAGACGGTGGACATTTAGTCTCCAATCGGCCTGTTGCTTGCAGACTGAACAGATCAGAATCTCTGTTTATGAAGTTTGTCTAAAATGGCTTTGATCGATTGTCATAAAAATACCTGAGTTCATATAAATGATTCAAAATCAAATATATTAGAACATTTGTATAATAAAGGGAATATATGGAGAAAAGTTTTCAAACTTCTTCGCATCGAGTAATTCCAAATATTAAAAAAAAACAGTGTGCAGAAATCATTCTTTCAATGACAGTATAATATTCGGAACTATTTTCGAAATATACCAATTTATATCTCTTTTTTTTTTTTGGTTCTTTTTTGTTGGAGGAACGTCAGCGCCATTTTAGTGTTTAATATCCGCCATTGTTTTCGAACAATGTTTCATAATTATCACCAAAAGAACCATATTCAATATATTTAATAAAGTTACATTTTTATCCCGAACAAAATTCAATACAAGCTGTTTTCACTGTATGTTGGTAAATAGTTTCTCATCTTGTGACAGTATTGTATGAAAACGTTTTTAGAAACAAAAAAATGAAAGAGAAGTCATTCAATTTTGCCAATACATTATCACATTCGCTGAGTGTAATTTCATCCTAACTTTATTGTCCGAAGTATTTGTATATTTGAGGTCAAATTCAAACACGTACAGAAGTTTAAATATCTGAGACCTGTTTTAACAGAAGACGGTAAATAATACATCGGGATACGAAGGTGCATTGGAACAACAAAAGAAACTTTACAAGCACTAAATAAAGTATTAAAAATATGAAAGTTTCGTTAGAAACTAAATCAACTGTGCTGGACTTGGTATGTAATTTGACAGTGAATGTTGAACAATTTCCTCACGGGAAGAGAAAACATGATACGACAAAGATTTGGTTCTACAGAAGGATGCTGAGAATAACATGGATAGCGAATGAGAGCAACGAGTCGTATTCTAAAAAAAATGGAAATAAAAAGAACTTAATTTAGGATCTAAAAGAGACAGTAGAAATTTCTACAAAACATAATGAAATAAGAGTGTTTAGAGACTATGAAAATTCCGGGACAAATTGAAAATCAAGAGAGGTTGAGGGAAATATAGAATAGCATAAGAAGCTTGTGTTTGGGAAAATAGTAAAAAGAAAGAAAATTATTTAGTTCTACAAAGAACAGGAAGTTCCGAAGAGCCATTTTCACGCATTATATATATATATATATATATATATATATATATATATATATATATAATGTGTATTTAGGTAGCAGTCCTTCATTTATACATCTTTTATACTTTATACAGCTTTTTATTAAATTTTTCTTGTGTTTGAACAAGTGTTTTCTTTTTTGCACACAGAGTGTGTAAAAACTGTTCAAATCTTCTATAATTCCGAGCGCTTTCGGCATTACTATTAGCCATTATCAAGGATGATTTTATTTTTTTCAATTTAATTTAGTCACACGACTACTTGCCTATGCACACACCTTACGTTACACCTATCTGACCGCAGCTCTATAAGAACCCATTTAAACACACAAACTTACACAACTCCTTCCGAAGCATACTAGTAGAAAATACAAACATAATAACCTCATCCGCTTGTAAAAAAAAAAGATTAAAAATAATGGAAGACTTAAAAAAAGCCAACATTTAATAACAGTAACTACGAACACGGCCACAATGTGCTAACTGTGTTTGTAAAATAAAATATTTCCGTAGCACTAAAAAAATACACACAACCAAATTAAATTAAAAAATAAAATCATCCTTCATAATGGCTAAAAGTATAGCCGAAAGCGCTCGGAATTATAGAATATTTAACATTTTCCACACACTCTGTGCCCAAAAAAAGAAACACTTGTTGGAACACAAGAAAAATTAAATAAAATGCTTAATCGTAGCACCTTATCTGTCGTCTTTAATGAACCATACATACATACATACAGACACACACACACACACACACACACACATATATATATATATATATATATATATATATATATATATATATATATATATATATTATATACATATTTTTCATTAAATAATATAGACAAGTGCCGTCTATTTATTTTATGTAAATTATTTTCCTATTGTCTGATAAGCTTAATAACATTATCATTAAACGAAGAAAGAAAAATTTCTATAATTGGTAACAGAAGCTATTGGTTTATACAAACGGCTTCCCATACTTAATATTTCTTGAATTAATTCTCACGTGGTCATGTGTGACGTCAGTAGCTGCGGTGCGATTTTCGCTTCTAGCGTCTTATATGCACGTGTTTATCGTTGCTTGGAAATCATTCATGTCAACAGAAACAGGCTATCATCACTGTCTTGTCCGTATATTGCTTAATATATTGTACTGTACTTGTCATCTTTGATAATGGCTTATGTAAGCCGAAAGCTTAGATTAACAATATGGATCAATACTGTCATTTTCTTTATTCGTTTAATGATAATGTTATTAAGCTTATCTGACGTTATGAAAAGTATCTACATAAAATAAGTAGACAACGCTTGTCTATATTATTTAACGAAACATGTATGAATAAAAAAATACTGCCTAAACACAAAATTTATATATATATATATATATATATATATATATATATATATATATATATATAGCAATAATTTTCTTTTGTCTAACAATCCATGTAGTAGTTGCAAAACTTAGGAACTGTTTATTTCTGGGGTATACCCGCCGGTAACTTAAAAGGGGTGAATACTGAGTTGACGTAACACACACACACACACACACACACACACACACACACACACACACACACACACACACACACTGCTGAGTTGACAAACGCACACACACAAATTTGTGTATGTGTGTGTGTGTGTGTAATAGAGAGAGAGAGAGAGAAGATAAAAAATCGAGCGTGTAAATATAAAAAGATTGAAAAAAGTGTGGCATGATTCGTGAGTCAGGAAAAGTGAACAAAAAAGAAAGAAAAGAAAAGGAAAAGTGGAGAAAGAAAAATATTGACATAGAAAGAGAGGGGGTGTCAGAAAGAAAGTGAAAGAAAACAAAAGAGACGGGCATGAAAGGAAGGGAGTCTGAAAGAGAGAGAAACAATTAAAGGTAGAGCGGTATAAATTGAGAGGCAGGAAGGGAGAGCAAATCAGCGATAGGTGAACAAAGAGAGATAGAGAGATAGGAGCGATGGAAAGGCACTTGAGGATAGAGACAAAGAAAAAAAAAGAAAGAAGAAATGAGATGGAGATCAAAATAATGAAAGAGAGACAAAGATGGAGAGAAGAGACCGGAAGAAAATAAGATGGACAGGTGCCCGAAAGAAAAGAGACCGAAGAAGAATGGGATACAAATCCAAACCGAAAGTTTGAAAATGAGAGAGAACGAAGAATAAGCAAAAGACCGATAGACACAAAACAAAGAAAAAAAGCAAGAAAGAAAGAAAGAACGAAAGAAGGAATAAAAAAGAAAGAAAGAAAAGAGAAGAAAGAACGAAATGAATATGTAAATAAAAATAAAGAAAGAAAGAAAGAAAGAAAGAAAAGAAAGAAAAAGAAAGAACGAAAAATAAAGAAAGAACGAAAGAAATAATGAAAGAAAGAAAAGAAAGAAAGAAAGAATGAAACAAATAAATAAATAAATAAAGAACAAAATAAATAAATAAAGAAAAACTGTATTTTTACGGGTTACCAATCATTTTCAGGATATTTAAAGCTAGAAATTACTGTGAGAATTTGTCACATCGAGGTGGTATAATGGTTAGCAAGCTTCTCTCGCTAGAACAAACACGACTGAGTTGTGAGTTCGATCTTGACTAGGTACCCCGTATTTTCGGCCTTGTGCCACATATAATCTACGCTTAGAAAATCATTATATTGTGCGAATTTGAGGGTGATCATAAGTAAAAATCCTCCTAATTAACACAGAGTTGGGGAAAGAAAAAGTTGATACGTTTTCTACGACTTCTCAACCATTTGTAGATTATTTAAAGCCAGAAGATATTGTAAGATTTTTTTTTGTAGCGTGATAATAAGACTTTAGGTATACAATTCTTACTAATTAACTTATAGCTGGGGGGAGAATAAGTGGGTTCATACCTTTTCCTAGGGTATTTGCGTGTAAGTCAATATAACGAACCCAACTGGAATTGGAACTTCGCTCTCTGACTAACAATTCTCATTATGCATTACACCACTCACAGATTCAAACTGACTACACTTAGTATTCCCAAGCGGTCACCCATCTAAGTACTGATCAGGTTCAAAGTTGCTTAACTTCAGTGATCGTACTGGAACCGGTTTTTCAACAAGTTATGGCCGTAAGTCCATAGGCAGAAGAAGCTACGTAGAAATAGAGAGGCTAAAGAGAAGAGCAAATGGGGGAAACTCTGAAGCCAGCAGTTTGGCGGTCGGCGGAAAACGCTTATCATTTATTCAAAGAACAGGTTGGGAGCGCGGACAGAGAAATGGCTGGATGAAGCGGGTGAATGAATAATAGATGTGGGATGCGACAGATGATGACACGTGTTCTAATGCTTCGCCTGATCGCCAGCCGTCACTGGTCGACACCCTCGCCGCAAATCTCCGGAGTTGGCCGCAACGCATAAAAGGGAAAGTTAGCAATCGATCGGGATTCGATGAAAAGTTAAATAAGCACTTGCGTTAATGTCTTGTTGGCACGTTGGGTAGGAAAAATGTCCTCAGGCAAGCGGGCTGCTTGATTGATAGATACTGAGAAAGGAAAACAGAAATAGATAGATAGATAGATAGAAATAGAAAGGCGCGCACACACACACGCACGCACATATATATATATAGAGAGAGAGTAATCGATAGAAAAAGATAGAAAGAAGGATAGATAGTCAGATACGAGAAATTATATATATATATATATATGTGTGCGTGTGTGTGTGTGTGTGCGTGCGTGTGTGTGTGTGTGTAGACTTCCTATTGGTTAAAAAGACACAAAAAATGTAGCAAGTTGAGACAAATACTTTTCCCGCTCACCTATCTGGAGCCGGTTTGAAATCCAAAAAGTCAATAATGATCGCTTGTCTTGATTCAAGCAGTCAGGAACTGAATCTTTTACATTTTTCTGAGTCTCCTTACATTTTTCTGTCCACATAACGCAAATATACCAAAGAATTTTCCAAGAATATAATTACCTAGATGTAATACAGATTATGAAGTCAACAGACTAATTCTAATCTAGTAACTTCTCTCGTCTATGAAAATTGAATTTGATCTTAACAGTCCTGAGTTTTGAGATAAAAATCTAATTTTTCACTTAATATTAAGCTTCATATCTCAGAGCGTTTTCTTAAAAATTACTTCATTTGGTTAGAAATTGTATTCTGGATTCTTTGATGACTTCTCGTGACATCGAAGCTCCTCCAAGGCCAATCCAACGTCACGTATGCGTGACAAATGAATCTACATAAAAAATGTTTTCTATCTGAGCATGGCTGGGATGCGCAAGCACAAACTTCCAATATGAGTTGATATTTATATCAATACATGTGTTAGAATCTTAGTCTAGAATGACTGCTACTGCCTCGTAAGATCTACAGAATGTTATAAGCACGTTATTGCGATTATTTAAGTTCTGCAATCGAAGAAATATTTTAATGGCTTTATAAATGAGCAACATTTAAAGAAAATGTATAACGTATGTACTGTTTTCCAGAATAGACATAATTAAGATGAAATGAAATAAATAAATAAGAAAAAATAATCAAATAAGATAAAATACATGTTGTACCTTAAAGAAGTTACAAACAGACAAAGGTTGTACTCGAGTGACGTAGATGAAAGAAAGAGAAGTTTATTGTAAAAGAGAATACACTAGTGAAAGACAGGAAATCGGGTGGCAGGCCAGCACTTTGCGAGGCAAGTCTCAGGTATATCCTCTGCAGACTATATATATATTTACTGATATAGTCAGTCCACAATAGGCAATAGGGAGAGTGAGACATTCCATTACAACAATAAATAAATAAATGAATAAACAGGACGTGTACTCGAACATGGGCATCCACAAAATAACTTTGAATTATTAAGAACTAATGTCGGTTGCTTGGTTTGTTGTTTTTGTTTAGCGGCAGATCAGCTTATGTGGATTATTTAATGCCGAAATATAAACGTTTTTATGCACAATACTTTATTTTATTTTTGGAGATAATAGGTTAATAACACAAGTCTTACTAATTAACCCATAGCCGGGGGAGAAGATGTGGATACCTTCCCCAAGATTTTTTTTTATTTAAGTGAATATAACGAACCCAACTGGAATTGGAACTTGTTTCTCCGATTAAAAATTCTGTGTCATTATCAGTTACACCACCTGCACATCCAAGCTAACAGTACCTGGTATTAGGAATCGGTCATTCATCTATGTACTGAACAGGCTGGTCGTTGATTAACTTCGATGATTGTATGGGAACCAGTGTTTCAACGTGATGTGGCCGTAAGCCTAAAATAATGTCGGATAAATAAATCCACCGATTTCTTTGAAAATGTTTTGATTATGATTCAAACACGAACGAATTAGCAGACATTTGCTTTCGCAAAGACCTGAATGGCTGGATGTGCATTCTTCAAATGGCTAATTAAGCATTGCTTGGCTTATACGTTCTCTTTTGGATACGTCGGATACAAACGGTGATTTCTCCTATAAAGGGGAACGCAGGTTCGAGCCTGCCGGTAGATATAATAACAGAGCGTCCACTCAAACATTAATATCCACAAAATAACCTTTGGTTCATTGATTCGAGAAAATATTTTTATATTGTAAGTAAATTTTTTTTTTTTTATTTTTGGTGGGGAGATAATAATGGTTTAAAGATTCAAGTCTTACTAATTAACCCATAGCTGGGAGGCGAGAAGCGGTGCATTCAGAATTTGATAAACAAACAAGAAATTATAATGTGGATATAAATTGGGGGATCAAGTCTATATCATAATCAATAAGTCAAATAATCCCTCACTTTGTGACCACGGCAGTTTGTATTCATTTATATTCCAGAGAATGCAAATATATCTAAAAGACATACTTGTATAGCTAATCGATATTTCATTGATTTGTTTTCGACTCATTGATTCCCACTACAGACTATTTAAAACCAGAAAATATTTTTAGATTGTAAGAATTCTCCTTTTTTTTAAAGATAATAATGGTTTAGTGTTACAAGTCTTACTTATTACTAATTAACCCATAGCTGGGAGGAGAAGGTGTAGATTCATACTTTTTGGAAGGGTATTTGCGGATAAGTGAATATAAAGAACTCAACCGGATTTTGAACTCAGCTCTCCAGTTAATAATTCCGAGAGGTTATTCATTGCACCACCCGCACACAAAAGATTGTAGCACCTTGTATTCCCGAACGGCCAGCCATCTGAGTACTAATTAGGCTCGACGTTGCTTAACTTCGAGATCGTAAGGGAACCTGTATTTAAACATGATGTGACCGTAAGCCTAGATGTTATAAATTGTATTTTAACATTATGCGCAAGCGTATTTTTGATTTTAGCCTTTTCCGTATATATTTTCAAAAAATAAAGAATAAAATAAAATAATAAGAATTGAAGTTCCTCTGCTATGAAAACATGCTTTAAACTATATTCTATCGCAGAAGTATTGGCTATAATATTGTTTAAGTTACCAAAGAAGGATCTTCCACCGCCTACAACTTAAGGTTCTTCCTCCTCATCTACTTAAGAAAAATAACGTTTTAATGCTCATTCGGGCTACATTTGTCTTTTTGCTATTTTTACCAATCCCTGTTTTGCTATTTACAAAAGCTCGGTGTACCTCATTGTGGTGTAGTATTTAGCAAGCATGTCTCGCTAGCACAATTACGACTGAGTATTGCGTCCGATCCTCACTGGGTGCTCTCCACTTTCGGCCTTGTGCCTCATCTAAGCTACGCTTAGAAAATCTTTTCGGGAACTTCGACGTGGTGCAATGGTTAGCAAGTTTGTCTTGTTAGATCAATTAAGTGAGTTCGATTCTCACTAGGAGCTCCTCACTTTTAGCCTTGTGCTATTAGGGTAGGGTCCTTTTTAGAAAATCAACATTGCATTCAGTGTGAAACCTGTTGTTCCATGTGAGATGTACGGAAGCCAAAAATTAGAATCATATTTTACCAACTTTTGAGTGTGAGGTCGTCCTCCGGTCGCAGCGCCAACTGTGACGTCCTATCCTGATCTACCACAGCACCAGTTGTGACGTCCCCAAACAACACCAATTGTGACGTCCTCGCCGCGGCGCCAGCTGTTCGCTCCTCGCTGCTCCGTTCGGGTGTCGCTGCTCCAAACGTGACGTCCGCCTGTCGCGTCAGTCGTGTTGTCTCGTCCTGTGACGACCAACTGGCTTGGTATCGGTCGCGGCACCCAAATGTGACGTTCTAACCTTTTGGTGATTCGGGTGGGAATCTGGTTAAATTTGATATCAGCCTCGTCGTTCCCAACTCGCTTCCAAGGTAACTGCATTGATCTCCAGTCCGCCCACCCACGTTGTGAATTGATCTTAGGCAGACGAGATCAAACAGTGGTTGGGGCCGTAATGCAAACTGAGTTCAACGGGGGTGATACTGCACAAATATGCATAAAAGAAAATAAAATGAAAATTCAAAAAGTTCAAAGTATCAAAGAAAAAGGTATCAAACTTTATGTCTAGTTGTTCGATACATAGGACTGCATCTATCTCCCGACCCGTTCTGTGGATTGTGACACGTCGTTTTCCGTTAGGCAAGTTTTTAACGCTTCAAGTTGTTTGCTCTCTAAGAAATTGGCGTTTCGGTGTGTCTTTGGACGAAAGTCGAAAAAACTTATTTCGGTGGTCTGGATCTAAGTCGCTCTTCAAAATAATTGTTCTTGGGTTGAAGAGGAGTCCGAATTTGCGTGAATCTTGGTCAGCTATCTGCGAGGCGGCTTCAACTCTGAAAACTTCACTCTCCGCTGGAGCCCGAACTCTGATTTCTGCCTGTTGGGGTTTTTGCTTTTTATTGACGCCAACCAAAACCGGGGTGGGTCTGTCGGCGTCGGGGGTTCCTCGATAATTCTAAATACATATCCACCTCTTTTATTTCTGGTTAGGGATTTTCCACTCTTTTCCATTTTTGGGAACCTTTCCTTACTCCCACTTTCTCACCATACTTCAGAGGGCGTGAACAGCTTCTCATACTTATACTCTGGATGAGGCGTCGACAGCCTCCTTCGTGCGTCATTGATCACCACTCGACCAATGAGGTCTTAGTCGGGTATCTTTCCTCCTCCTTCGTGCGTCACGTGATCACCACTTGACCAATGATGTCTTAGTCGGGCGTGAACAATCCGCGGCTTTGTTTCGAGGAAAAAAAATATCTTGCTTAATTAAAAAAAAAATTATCTCTTCTCTTTCCCTTTTCTTCCGCTTTAATCGCTGTTATCATTTTTCTAGCCGCAAACGGACAATATGACAACTCTTGTTCTACACGTGGTTTTTGTCAGGTATTTTATCGCTAATTATCAAAATGGGTGGTCTTCTTAACACGGCCTCAAAAAAGAAATATCTCTAAAGTTTCAGTCAGTCTGTCGCCTCCAAGGAAGAAGAAAAAACACTTCTGGGTCCCCATTCATTTTCTTTCGGTACATATTTCTGATAACATAATTTTATTATCGCAGGCCAAAGTTGTTTCGTCGAAAAAAAAAAAAAAAAATCGGTCAGCGGACACGGCTTGTGTGGCTTTTTTAATTTTTCATATCTACCCAAAGTCCTGTAGTTACACCTGTGTTTTGTCAATTATCAAAATTAACGTTTTCAATTGAATTTTTCGTTGGCCAGTCGACCAGCCGTTTGTTTGCGTACCCCTAGATAACACAGCCGTTATCAAAACACATCTGATTCTTTCTTTCTTTCCCTTTTCTTTTTACTCAGAATTTCCCTGTCGTTGTAATGACACCCTTTTCGCCATTTGTTACTTATCAATATTTTCATTGTCTCTTAGCCGTGTGTGTGTGTCTGCTTATCACCCACGATTCGTCTCGCCTTTCTTTCTGCCTTCTTTTCTTTCTTTTCCTTTCTCTGCCTCGTAAATGGTGCCACAGAGTATTTAGTTTTAAAGATCGCCTGAAAAACTATGAATATTCCTTAATTCCGCAGATTTTGACTTCAACATTTTACTATTTCAAGAATAAATCCAAATAAAGTTTATATTTTTTTAGATACATTGAATTACCACAAGTAAAATATGCATTTTTTTTTACTGTATTCGATAAGTAAAAACTCTGTAAAGAATTGTAAAAGATTAATAAAATGATACTCAATGAATAAGATTTATTAGATCATTTGATAGATCAATTAATAATAAAAAATAGATAAAGGTGTATATAACATCCTAATGCTGCTGGGCACACGTTATAAGACAAAATGTTTAAAACTACTGCAGTGTATAACATATTATATCATAATATAGCTAAATTGTTTCCCTTTGAAATAAATGGTGTTAATTAATGGCACAATGATTTAGTAATAATGTTCTTGCGTAATGCATCTTGTCCATATAAGATTTATAAAGATTCAGTAAATTATAAAACTTTCACTGGTCACTGGAATGAAATTCCAACACTACGTTTTTGAACCTAAACAAAACTTTGAACTCGTCTCTAAATATTTGGAAAAATGTCGTTATTTATCATGTCAAACTCCACTTTTCAAATTGAGTGCTCTACCACGTTTCCAAAATCGACTTGCCCTATAAGGATTTTCCAAGCGTAGCTTAGATGTGGCACAAGGCCGAAAGTAAGGGACACCCAGTGAGAAGCGAACCCACTACTCAGTCGTAAATGCCTGCTAACCATTACACCGCCTCGAGGTGCCCAAATCGATCTGCCGTATTGTGCTACATCAAAGTTACGCTTAGCAAATGATCAGGCGCTTCGACTGGGAGTAATGTTTATTAACTTGTTATGCCACGACTGAATAGTGAATTCGATTCTCACTGGGTTCCCCATACTTCCGGCCTTGTGGCACATCTAGGCATGATAAAAGCCTCAAGCATGTGAATTTGTTCAGCTAAAATGGCCTGAGACAAATAGATATCAGTGCATACGCTCATGCTATGCTAACCCCGTAGACTAACCGGTGGAGTAAAAGAGTCATAGCCTCACCAGTCGAGACGTTGCTGCATTGTCTCCCATAGCAAGGAAATTTTTACGGGGTAGAGTTGCTTTCTCTACGCCCAACAGGTTTTCAATATCAGATGTTTTTCTTCTCCCAGACTGGTTGCCAGACAAAGCTAAAGCTAGAGAATCCAGCCAGCTCTGCTAGACGCGGTGAGGTGTGTGTGTGTGTGTGTGTGTGTGAGAGAGAGAGAGAGAGAGAGAGAGAGAGAGAGAGAGAGAGAGTCTAGAACAAATAAGTGCCTACCTTCCCAAGGCTCTTTGGGCGAAAGCGAACGCAACGACCTGGGCTAGGTGGAATTTGTAATCGACACGAATATCCCCCTCTCGCGCCGATAATGGCCACTCTACGCGCAGTGCAAGATGCACACATACGTACACAGAAATGGATGCACGTACTCTGCATACGCTTGAATAGTACCAGACCGACATTGAAATTTTTTATACATTAGGAGAAAGCCGGCTTGGAAAATTCAACACTCACGCGATTTATTGAACGAAAGTCGCACAGAAGTGAAACAGCAAGTAACTAAAGATTTTGTGTGAATCGACAGCAGAATGGTGATAAAGAGCAATGGTAAAGTGTCTATAATTACTTTGAACTACAAGGAGCAGAAGGTTGTGGAGAGCCATGATCTCCTATGTCATGTAGGGACGCTGCTCAGAAAAGATGTACAAGGCTATTGTAAAGGCATCTTGGCAATACTAAAGTTCAGTGTCGTACATGCGTTATGTGAACTTATACAGCGACGCGCACAAAGAAAAAAACAAGTCTGGCTTAAGGTTGCAGTTTTCGGGTACTTCGTTAGGCTGGAGTTAATGATTTCTGAGAAGTCATATCTCCTCCGTTGCTCTACGATAGGCGCTTTCCCCTCCTTTTGCATTATGAAAGACTTGTGCAGAGACAAAGAGCTGCGTACGGAAAAGCCTACGCACTGACACATTCACATGCACTTACGCATCCACGAACTCACTGAAACAAATAGCAAAATACACACACACACATACACGCATACACACTATATATATATATATATATATATACACACACTCAGGCATGCGTGCAGTGACGTCGAGAGTTTATTGTATTCGCAACGTGACTAGCGCGGCACGGTTCATTTTCTTTTCTTTTCTTTTTTTCTCTTTACTGCCTTTTCGCCGGAAATAGCGAAGCGGAAATCGTTGCTATGACAACGCTTTCCTTTCCGGTTGTTTTCGTGACGAGACAAGAAGTCTGGCTTCGTTTCGCGCCATTTACACACTACTTTTCCCTTCAATACTGATCATCGGCGGACAGACACTGCAAGTCTGT